AAATGCTGCAAAGAAACCAAACAACCACTTTAACAACAACGAGCAACAACAACATCAACCTACCGGCAGCAATTACTGTTCGAAGTAAACATTTAATAAACGACGAATGCAAAACGACTTCAATGACCAACCGGTATGGCCAACCTGTAGAGCTGTTTTCTTGTGTGTGTGCGTGTGCTGTGTGATAATGGTTTTACTCTTTTTTTGTTTTACTTTTTATTAAGTGGTGAGAATATTTTTTTCTTTTTCTCTCAATTGAATGTACACACACACATAGTCCATGTACACATGGACAAAGTGTCCGAGTTCAATTTTTACGCAAATATTTGTATGGTAATTTATAGCTGCTGTTGCTGCTATAGATGATCATGTGTTCTACTCCTGTTCCAATTCCAATTCACAGATGCCTTTTTCCTGCCACACCATACCTGTAGTCAAGTCAGAATATGTATGGAATTAATTCAATGTCAAGAGAAGGTGCTTGAGTGTAGAACAGAGTTGTAGACGACAATGCGGCAGGCAGTGTGTTTGACTTTACTGATACTTAATCGATTTGGAATTTAATTAAAATGAAGAGCACCTATAATGACTAGGCGGAGTGTTCTCCTTGTTATGAGATATGCTATACGAGATATGAATACACTACAGACAACTATAGTACCAGTAAAATGTAGTACAAATATTATTTTTGATATTGGATAATCGTTGAATTTCGAAGTGGACTGAAGATTCCTGACGGAGCGTAAAGTTGAGATATTAATGTGTTTGTTGCAACTCGTGCTATCGTGTTTGCACGATTCTAGTATCTCGAAATTTGGTAGGGCTTTCGGGAAGGCATAAAAAAGGTAATAAATGTTACTAAATTTGGTACCTTTGTTATGAGTGAATGAGGAAAACTTAAGTTTTGAAAACGCTGTGCCACTAGATTTTTTCCTTTTGGAGATGAAAACCCTTGGTCAATTTGTTGACTCTATAGTTCCTTGCTTGTGGCTCGTTTTTGGGATTACAAGTCCAATCGCTTATACGATTTTAAATAGTGTCCTCCAAGACAAACATTGATATTCGTATTTTTTTCAAAAAACTTCATAATGCATACTAATGAGTTTCGGATCCACTCAGCTAGTCGATATATGAAGAACTCTTGGAACCATGGAACCTTGCAGTAACATCTGATAAGTTCTGTTCAGTTTGGAAAGATTTATGTTATCTAGTTTTGGGTGCCGTAGGGCATGGTAGATACCATGTAAAGTCTCCGACTACCAAGTCAAGTCCAGACATCCGTTGACGTAGTTGAGCTGATATGAGCCGCGAGTTCATCCATAGGTTGCACACACACGGAAAACACCACATACTATGAAAAAGCAACGAAAAAGAAAACCAAATCCCCAAAATGATCTGCGAATCTGAAATTGGAATGTGCGCACGTTGCATAGAACAGACGAAGTTTTCGCTTTGGCGGATGTACTCAAGAAGTACAAAGCCGATAGTATTGCCTTACAGCAAATGCGACGGAAAGGGATTGGTGTTAATAAAACAGGAAATAACGTACTGTATTATAGTTGTTATAAAACGAGGCTGCGGATTTATGGTTAACAGGAGAATATAAAACCTCGTCCCTAGATTCATTCCAGTAGATGTGAATTGACATAATCCGTATAAAAGCGAAGTTCTTCTACATCAGTCTTACTTGTTTCCATGCTCCGACGGAAGACAGAGATGAGCAGACCGCTGCCCTGGTCATGGGCCATTCCTGGTTAATTGTCACACGAGAGAGATGACATCGTCAAGCTTCTCATGCTTGTGGCTTGATTAAATTAGTTCGGTAATTACATGTAAAACCACACCGGCATGTAAATAATACTACCACTCAGTACGGTTCGCCATTACACTGATGAACATTAAAATTATGCTAGGAGATTTTAATGCAAAAAATCGAAATGGGAAAATATGTTTGACCCCACCGTCGGAAAAGTCAGCCTCCATGAAGAAACATCAGACCACGGTTTGAGGTTTATTTACTTCGCGGCGGCACCGAATCAAGCATCTCGATATACACAAGGCTCCCTGTGATAGACGTAAGGCTTTCATCCAGTGTTTTATGCGTTCGATAGATCAGAGGAGCGAATATCGATTCGGACCATTACCTTGTAGCAGCAATGGAGAAGACTAATCCGCTCAACTTACCTACTTGCTAGTCGAAATCAGTCCTTGTTCCGATAGTAATATTATAGAAGCACAATGACAAAGAATTGCCCACTCCCTACAAACTACAGCAAAAGCAAAATTTGAGTACCAAAAATCACCATTAAGAAACTCATGGTGTCGTAATGCTACTATGATAAAAAAAGCTGCTTATAGGGTAACCCTGCAAACAGTAGCAAGAACACACGAGGGAGAAACGGAAAGAGGAAAATTGTATTAAAAAAAGAAATAATAACAAAACCGTGAGCGGGTGCAAATCGAGATGTACAGGAGTCAGAACGAAGTCCGTACATTTTACCAACGAGTAAAACACCAAACCGAAGGCTTTTGTGCAAGCACATTCTCCTCTAGAATAGAAGATGTAAAGCTGCGTTGAGGATCTGGAAGGAGATTTTGCAAAAAGATGATGGTATCCATTGTATACCACCTAGCCAAGAAGGGGTCAGAATAGCAATACATCTGGTGAAGAATAATAAAGCTGCAGGTGCGGAAGGCTGACCAGCCGAATTATTCAAGACAGGTGGACGAATGCTGATCAGTAATAGGCAAAAGGTGATTATTACAATCTGGCTAGAATAGTGCACAAAAAAGGAGATCAGACGATATGTGCCAACAGAAAAATAACTCGCCATTCATTCGTATATAAAGTGCTAACCAGCGTGCTGTATGAGCGACTAAAGCCGATGATCCATGACATTATTGGACCGTACTAATGTGGCTTCAGACCTGGCAAATCCATCATTTACCAGATTTTCACACAGCGCCAAATCCTGGAAAAATCACACGAAAAATACATCGACACATTCCACTTATTCGTCGACTACAAAACCACATTCGACAGCCCAATTCGCTCAGCGGTGCTTAAAGCCATGTCTACGTTCGGCATTCCTGCGAAAATTATGCAGCTATGCAGAATAACTTTAACTCTTGAAGCTCTTCAAAACGAGGTTAAACAAGGAGGCAGTTTATCATGTAACTTTTTTAACATCCTGTTCGAAAAGGTCTTACGAGATGGCAAAGGTAAACAGAAATGGCAGCCATGACATGGACATAATGGAGCGAACATTTCGAACGGTTCGTGCCACATTTGACAAGATAGAAATGAGTCTGCCAATGTGCAGACTCATTTCTATCTGCCAATGTCCAGTAGATTTGGACCAACTGTGGAAAATGAGAACTACAGCTTTGAGGTTTTTAGAGATTTTATCAGTTCGGAGAAGGATAGTGTTGGCCAACGATGCTACTATGATCTGAGTAAGTAATTCAAAAACAAGGACACTACCCAGACCAATGTCGCACTCTACAAGATGCTGATACTACCCGTGCTGGTATATGAAACAGATGACGAAGTTCTTGGAGTGTTTGAGAGAAAAATTCTCCGAAAAATCTATGGACCTATAGTTAGACGCATGGAACTGCATCGGTGGCTAGGTCATTTTGTGCGAATTGATGTGGATACCCCATCTTAAAAGGCGTATAAAAGGGAGTCTATTGATGGCTCACGCAAAAGTAGAAGAATTCCATGGAAAGATAAAGGGGAACACGGGCTTTCAAACTGGAAACAAAAAAAAAAAAAAAAACTATGAAAAATATCGACGCGTCGAAAAATATGTGTATACCCTCAGCATTATGGAAAATGTGGGTATATACACTTTGCTATGGCAATAATTTACGTCATCGAAATATTTGTTTTAGACGCCATGTTTCTTTGGACCAAATCCGTTTCTGGCAATTTGGAGAGTTACAGATGTCCGTCTGTCTGGCTAAAGCGCATGATAACATTCGTTGGGAGTAACCGATTTCTACCAAACTTTGCACTACATAACATTTCTCCCAAATATAGTTTAAGTTCAAAGAAGGGGAGAAGGAGAATATCGATCCTCTCCTTGATACCTCCTTAAAAAATGATGAAAATGTTGCTCAAATTTAATTAATCATGACAACGGGCTATCCGATTTCAACCAAACCTTGCGAAACTTATTATCTTTACCAAGCATAGATACTTCCTGAAGATGGGACCCATTGATGAAATTTATAAAAAAGTTTGCTGAAGGTTATAAACAATACGAACATCGAACCCACGAAACGACGAAAATAATATTTCTCCCTGTGCATGTATCTCCAATATCACCCATCATCATCCCTGTAATCAGATTTTAAATTGAAGCGTTATTATGCAAATTTTAAAAAGTAGGCCATTCCTGGTTAATTGCCACCAGAGAGAGATGACATCGTCAAGCCTCTCATGCTTGTGGCTTGATTAAATTAGTTCAGTAATTACATGTAAAACCACACCGGCATGTAAATAATACCGCCACTCAGTACGGTTCGCCATTACACTGATGAGGCATAGTCGAAACTAACTGCACAGTGTCATGAAACATACATATATTTATTTTAAAAAGTTTTATACAGTCCTCCCTTTTCAATGGGAACATCGAATTTTATGTAATGAAAACTTCTACGGATATTTTGTATCCGCAATTTTATTTTTTTTTTTAACCGAGGTCCTTCGCTTGGATTCCAAAAATTCTATTGAAAATCTCAAATATTACACAACCAGATGCACTACACTGTGAATTGATAACAAGGTCATGTGGAGTGCATATCTTCCACATGCTACTAAAGGCTTTACCATATCGCTTAACCAATCCCGAACATATTTATAAATAATTTGCTTTACCGATACGAAATAACCCATAAGGCAGCGAACTTCACACTCTTCATTATATCAATAACAACAACAACTACAACGACTACTTTAAAGGCTGTTCAAAATTCAAGGTTATCACACTTACATGAGGATTTGACTTTAAGTAACGCCAATTTTCACTGGTCGTATACCAACCGGAACAAATGGGCAGAAATGAGAGTAAAGCCGGCGCCAGCCACACAATCACCAGCATGATGAACACTCGCCGGTGTGTCATAATTAAAGGATAATCCAATGGCTGGACAATGGCATAGTATCTGTGAGGGCGAGAGAGAAAAAACCAAACCAAAGTGATGAAGTGTTAGTGTTAAGGCGGGTGCAACGAGAATCCAATGCCATGTAATCTTGTTTAAAGTCCACTACTCAACTTACCTATCCACCGATATGCAGCACAGGTGCATTATACTCGCCGTCGAAAAGTAGACATCGAAACTGTTCCACATATCACACATGATTGAGCCGAACATCCATTTACCGGATATTTCAACGGAAGCATTAAAGGTCATGGCACACAAAGCCACCAGCATATCCGCCACCGCCAGTGAGACCACAAAATAATTGGTGATAATCCTGTAAAATAGTCAAAAATATGAAGAAGTCACGTGAAAATGTCGGCGAAAATGTTTGGCAAACACGCAAATGTTGGCGAGGCATGCAAGTTCATAAAGTCAGAATTGTGGTGGGTGGTGTGATGAGGCAGGAGATGTAGGGAGTAAGAGAGTGAGAGGTCTAGGGAGAAGTAACAAGGGATTTTTGCAAGCCTCAGAAAATTACAAAAAACGACAGTCAAGTGACAAATTGTTTTGTGTATGTGTAAGTCAGGGGGATTATCGTTGTATTCCGATGAGGTAAATGGAGGTTGTATTGTGTGAGTGTGTGTGTGCAGTGGGGAAAAATTACTGTGTGTGGCATATGGATAATTGATTTCTTAAAGTATGAGAGAGAATTTAAATGTTCAATACAGGATAAAGGAAATTTAAATACTTAAAGACTTTTAAGTATGAAGTATGAATGAATTACTAACGATTAATACTAGCAATTAATATTACATATTACATAGAATACCCCTAATTTTTCAAAATAGCTTAAGTTTGTATAGGTCGTATACGTGTTACCCATGAATATAGGCAACGCGTATACGCAACGTCGAACAGAAAACTCTTCGAACTGCATATAATGCATAAAATAGTAATAACTTTTAAGATTTGTGTTCAGATTTTTTTATTTAATTTCGGCATAAATTGTATTAAGGCGTCTGAAATAATGACATATGTTTATGGTAAATATTTCAGAATAATCCGAGAGTTCTTTAAATCGTACAAATAATTCTTACAATGGGTTCATTTTGGGCATAATTACTTTTATGTGAAGTTACATTAAAATACCTATATAAATATTAAAATATTTAATTCGAAATATATTAGGTTTGGAAAAATTTTGAGCAAAAATTGGAAAATTTGGACAAAGACGCTGAAAAAATACCAGCATCGATCTGTTATATTCGAATTTTAAAATCTTATAAGGACAAATATGACGCACAAAGAGTAGAGATAGAAGCAGTATTAATTTTATTTAACTGAAGATATATCATCGCAAAAATTAACTGCAATAGCCCGGAGATTTTTCTTCATGAATAACAAAAAATGCATCTCGCCATAAATCAGAGACACTGGGCGAATTTGCTCCTCTGGGTTCAAAATATACAAGTCCACCTCCATGCACAATGTTATTTATGCAGGCAGTAGAATCTCGATGTAACGAGTATTTTATACAAATCCAAATATAAATTTCAGTTGTCATTTCATTGAAAGCAATATTTTTTACGAGGAGGAATAATAATAAATGTGTTTATGTGAAACTACAATGATTTGGCTCTAAAGATTCTTTATGTTTGTAAATTTCGAAAACACCAATTACAATCCATTTTAGATCGTGTAAACGTTTGGTATGCCGAAAATATTGTAACCTTGCCGTTTCACATTTTTTCATTACTCCAATTAAAGACAACCTGCAACATCGTTTAATAGCAATTGAAAACTAATAGTTGACCTAAAGCCATGCATAATTACTTGTGTTCTTCAAAGTCAATGCATTTATAAGCAACTACCTTTCTTGAAGTACACAATAATTCTCATTCACTTCATATTGGTTCGCATATATGTTTCACTTTTTCCATACAGATCCTTTTTCGAACCGACAGTGACTAGCAAAATACTAACGAGCTAACCCATTACCTTCATACCAGCCGACCACAAATAAGAAGGTATTACAGTAAAGATTGAAATATAAAGCTCCCAAGGACAATAAATAGTACTACTAAAACCCAATATAATTCTAAGTAGAAAACTTGTATATAAATTCAATGTAATTAAAAACAAGTGTCTGTCGGTTTGCCTTCAGCCTATGGTTTGCGGAGGTCTTCAAACCGTTTTAATTATTCGCTTTTTATATAAGAGGTTTCGGATTTATTGTTGTTAAATCAGCAATTCAATTGACTTCAAATTAAATTTAAATTTATCTCCCCCATTTGTGGGGGAGGTCTTAGAAGGAGAGTATCAACGTTACGTATACGTTTTTATCTAAGAGGTTTCGGATTTATTGTTGTTAAATCAGCAATTCAATTGACTTCAAATTAAATTTAAATTTATCTCCCCCATTTGTGGGGGAGGTCTTAGAAGGAGAGTATCAACGGATCCCATTTCCGAACTTGATCTAGGTGTAATAATAGCTTGTGCAATGTTTGGTTCAAATCGCATAATATTGGATTTATAAGTATTGAACATTATGATCATTTGTGGGGAAGATACCAGAAGGAGTGGAGACCAATATATCCCATCTTCGAACTTGATCTAGGCTTGGCAAAGTTTGGTTCGAATCGAATAGTCCGTCTTTGGGAATTGTTTCGAAGATTGGAATAACGCTGACATACGATTGTTATATCTGAGGGGAATTACTCATTTGGCAGGAAACTGTTTACCTATTCTGGTAGAAATTAGCGGTGTCGTTAAATGGAATTTATATCTAACAAGGAAATAAGTGGTAAAGGTATACCCTCATATATACCCTATGAGATATCGTATGTATTATATACTAATAACGACTTTTGTGGGGAAGATACCAGATATGATGGATATATTTACGATAATTGCACTACACAAAAAGCTAGAAAATATTAAGGTCTGATAGGTTCAGACAACAAATATCAAATCGCATACTCCATTCGCTTTAGGTAAAATTTAAGTTTTCAAAACGTTGAGCCTGTGCTAGGAAGTTACCAGAAGGAGTGGACCGATGAGTCCCATATTATATATCGATCCTGGTTTGTGAAAATGTTATATTGCATTTAACGGATCGTACAGACTATCATCCAAATTGTCTGAAATTGATTTGTCCTAATAAACTTGGGGTCTAAAATCAATATTATGACGAGCAGAATTTTTGTCGTATTGAAATATAAATATAACAAATAAAAAACGATATTACTTTTTATACCCTCCACCATGAGGATGACAATCAAAATATCCAAAATTAATGAGGGTTCCTAGGAGAAAACTCATGTTTATGATAGAGCCTTGGACTTACCTAAAAATACGTGAGAAAAAGGCGATTGAAATTCTCAAAATATCTAATAGTGGGACTAGCGTTAGTGGACTAGATGTCGGTAATAAGTTTTAGTGCGGACAGTCAATTGTATTGAAAAGCGTGTCAAAAAATACCAAAACCAAATACCAAATTACAGACAATTCGGTTGAAAAACGAATCCAAAACAGACGGATTGACAGACGGACTTGCGTAAATCGATATAGAATTTTATTCTGATCAAGAATATATGAGAAATTACAAAATTCTTTTAAAATTTCATTAAAAAAAATTTGAAAAATTTTTTGGCGAGCACATTTATGATTTTTGGTATATAGGTTAAGAAAATTATGCTGATTAGAAATCTGTTCTGCGTTCACAAATTCGGATGCTGCGCACAAAAGTTATAGGGGTTTTAAATCTTGTATTTCAAATATAAATTAAATGGATTCCTATTCGTTGTAATTCGCGAATTTAATAAAACAATTTTTTTTTGAATTTTCGATTTTTTAGTATGGTTAAGAGGATACGTTTTTGCCTTAATCTTCTAAAATATACGACGCTTTCTTCTGCAAATTCTTTTAGATGATTGTTAAATATCGGTAGATTCATCTGATAAGAGTTTCAGCGTCATTAATGGCTAAATATATTGCACTTACAATACATAAAAATGATCAATATTGAAAAGCATGCAATTCGCGTGTTCGTGGAAATCAGTGGTTGCGCATGCGGTTTTCGTATAAACCGAATTAATGTCTTTCAATAATTATTAATTTGTCAATGTTTAATTTAGCGGTCAAAGTGTGCCGCTCGATGCACTTTACTATGCAAAAACTCTAAAATGTCTAAAAACCACGCAACGTGCATACGATTTTTATGCGCATCCGATTTCAGTAATCTCCTATGAAAATACACAAAAGGACACCTATTTTAAAAGGATCGGTTAAGAACCGCGGATGTGCCTCCACAATCAATTTTGGATAAAATGCGCATATTATTCGCGTATCGAAGGTTTTTTTGACCTATTTCCACACAGATTCGCGAATTTGACAATACAAGCGTAAATGCATGTAAACTTAATTCGAAGAAAACCGCGATTATTTACGCGAATTTGTCAAAATAAGTTTTTGCAGTTTTTCCCACATTCAAAATACCTATATCCGCCGTTTTATTGGGCGGAATTGAACATGGATGGACTCATTAGATCCGGCACGTAAAAAATGCGTGGTTCCACGGAATTTGAATGGACTTTCTTAATTTTAGACTCAAAAAATATGTTTTTTATAAAAATTTACGCACCAATTTTTCGTCTTTGGAACCCAATTCCAAAGATGCTACAGTAAGCACATTCATTAGATATACACTAAACGAAGCAAAATCACGAGTTCTACAATCCTATAATTAGTTTAGTCCATTATCTGGATTCGCATCCTAATTATAAGAAAAATTCAAAAAACACCGAAAATCCGGCTTCAAATTGTCAACATCCTGTTTGGTTGAATGCAGTGATTATATCGAAAAATCATACATTAGAACCATATTCTGCAACTTAGTCACTGATCACATGTGCGTGCGTTGTGTAGTTTAGCCACAAATCAGGAACGAACACAAAAAACTCGTTGGCTTCAAAACATTTTCACCCATTTTTTTACATTACCACCATCACAGCTTCCACCAAACTTATTATTTTTTACCAATATTTTAAGATTTTGACAAGAACACTTCATTTTATAGAAATTAATTTAAATTATATGCAATATCTTCATATTTCGCGAGTTATAACCTTGCAAACCTCAGCTTCAAGGAATTTAAAAGATTTTTGTAATTTCCCAAATGTGTTTATGAAAGAATTAACCTTATGTGGAAGAGGTTGTTCTATAGACTCTATCTTCGGATTTAATGTAGGTTTGGTAAACTACTACGATGTGCAAACAATGGGTTAAATCGAATTAAATTTACAAATTTTGAAAATTTTGACACTTTATGGGGAG